GGGCATAAGCTAGCCGGTGGTGGGAGCTGGGTGGCGAATACAGACCGCAGCTCCTACAACAGGCAAGCAGGACAGTTCCGAGTTTAGGCAAACAACAAAAGGGACTCCACCTCAGACAAGGTAGAAGGCAAAGACTGATGCTTGAAGCTGTCCTCTGAGCTGTACATGTATACTGTGGCAAGTATGTGCTCACATCTGTATACATAAAGAGGAGCACATACATACATGCATCATTAAAAACAAAAGAAAGTAGAACATTTAGAAGGGCTGGAGAGATGTCTTAGGAGTTAAGAACACTTGTTCCTGCAGAGAACCAGGGTTCAGTTCCCAGCACCCATAGGACAGCATCTCTGACTCCAATTCCAGGGGATCCAACATTGCTTCTGACTTCTGCCAGCTCCTGCATGCATGTAGTGCACGTACAACTCATGTACATACACATAAAGATAAACCTTTTTAAAGATTTCAAAAAAAAAAAAAGGTGTAGAGTGATGGAAGGCAATTTGATCTCTGGCCTCAACAAACATAGGCAGGAGCCCATGCGTGCACTTGTGAGCTCTTACGCGCTCGCTCGCTCTCTCTCTCTCTCTCTCTCTCTCTCTCTCTCTCTCTCTCTCTCTGTGTGTGTGTGTGTGTGTGTGTGTGTGAGTAAGTGAGTGAGTGAGTGAGTGAGTGAGTGAGTGAGTGAGTGAGAATGGAATAGCAAAGGTAATTCAGACTGCAGGTAAAAAGGTAAAGAGAAAGCAAACTAGCTCTAAGTAAGTGCACTACATAAACAAATGTGAGAGCAGAGTCCCACAGAGCAGATGAGAAGACACCACCAGAAGGGAAGCGGAATAAGGGAATAAGCGAGCTGGTTTCCCTAAGCTGCCACCCCTCTACAGCTGTCTCCACATAGGATTCAAGTATTTTTTGTTTTTTTGTGAAGTATACTTGCTAATGTCAGCTTCATCTTGAACCATCCTTTTGACACTGTTCATCCCCTCAAATGTGCCTTGTTCCTTTTATTTTTACTGTCTCTTCCTGGAAAGCTCTGTCTCGCCACCACTCCTCCTATTCCCCCTTTAAGGCACTATGATAAAATGCTTATTATAAATAACTCATTTGTTATACATGACAGTTGTAATTTTATGATTATGATTTTGATTATTGAGTCTCCTTACTATTCAGGAGACTCGGGAAACCATGCGCCTCTGCTCTAAGCAGCGACTAAACAGCATGTTGAATGAACAGAGAGACTGGCGACACTGCGACAGGTGAAAAGGTGACATCAGTAGATGAGCATCAGTCAAAGTTCAACACGAGAACAATACAGAAGGTCCACACAACACAGAATTGGGGTTCTCCTTAACAGTTAGAACATAACCTAGAACAAAGATATCAGACATCACTTGAGACCTAGAATCCAGCAGTGCGTCACTCATCCCAGAACCTCATACCAACCCTCAAAAAAGGATCTTGGAGTCTTTCTTATTCTCATCTTAAGTGGATACTGCATGAATAAATCTTACTCTATTCTGATCTTCAACCCCCTGACTCTCCTTTTCCAATTTTCAAGCCAGGCTCACTTCTACCAAAACTGCTGCACTGTTTGTTTGTAATTCATCTCCCTTTTATTCTTGAACTTTTATAATTTATTGCAGATAAGGCAGCCAAGGTGACAAAAAAAAAAAAAGTCTTGTGTATCCCACAGGGATGACCTTAAACTTCTGAGTCTACAGCTTCCACCTCCCAAGCACTGGGATTACAGGTGGCCACTGTCTGTTTTATCCCTTGCTGGGGATCAAACCCAAGATTTTGCGGATGCTAGGCAAGCACTCTACTACTAAGCAAGCACCACAGACAAATATGTATGTGCGTATAAATTATATTAGGACACTTTTTTTGTTCCCAGTTCTCCAATGGCTTCCTACTACTTGGAAAAAGACATAATCACAATCTTGTACCACAGAGCTTCTACCCCTCTCTCCCTTAATTTCAAGTAGTGGAACCACAAATGGCCTCTGAACCTTTATATGCATCACCCCTTTGAGTATCTTGTGATTAAGGGGTTCACTCGGCAGCCCCTCTTTAAAGACACCTTCCTTCCCTTTTTTTTTTTTTTTTTTTCGTTTTTTTTGAGACAGGGTTTCTATGTGTAGCCCTGGCTGTCCTGGAACTTGCTCTGTAGACCAGGTTGGCCTCGAACACAGATTGGCCTGCATTGCTCTCCATGTTTCTTCCATCATCTTTATCACATCATAATGATCTAGTTTATTCATTAACAGCAAATGTGTTCTAGATATAAAAATATGACAGGAAAACTACAAGCTAATTGCTTCAATAGAGCTTTTGTTTCTATCTGGCTGAAAAGTAGAAAGAAATCATTTGATAAATTGTTAAGAAAATAAAACAGTATTCCACGTATGCATATGCAGATTTGTGGAGTACAGGTGGCATCAGGACATTGCAGACACATGTCAAGTTTGAGCAGACCTCAAAAAGCTGATAGAAGTTTTGAAAAATGTTCTAAATGCATTGGTTTTTGTTTGTTTGTTTTTGTTTTGCTTTGTTTCTTTCCCACTGGTTGGCAGCCTCTTCCATTAAAATATACACATTCTATGAAGGCAGTGACTTCGAGTACTTCATTCACTGTTTTATTCCAACCAAGTAGACTAGGCTACTAAAAATGTTTGATGAGTTAAGAAAAATATTGTCAAAGAAAACCAAAGCGTAATACAGGGAACTTTAAAATATCAAACCTAAGGGCTGGAGAGATGGTTCATGGGTCAAGACCTCTTGCTGCTCTTGCAGAGACCCCCAAGTTCAGTTCACTGTACCTATATAGTGGCTCACAACCATCCATACTTCCAGTTCCAGGTGACCAGATGCCTTCTTTTGTTTAACTGTGGCACCAGGCTTGTACAGGTTGCACATACATACAGGCAAAAAAAAAAATCATACACAGAAAATAGAAGTTTAAAAAAAGGTTTTAAAAATAATTAATCCTAAAAAAAACCACGTATCTGTAATTCCAGTGCTTGAGAAGCTGAGGCAAGAGGATTCCAGAAGTTTAAGGCTGGCCTGGTCTAAATTTTTTTTTTTTTTCTTTTCGAGACAGGGTTTCTCTGTGGTTTTGGAGCCTGTACTGGAACTAGCTCTTGTAGACCAGGCTGGTCTTGAATTCACAGAGATCGGCCTGCCTCTGCCTCCCCACTGGGATTAAAGGCGTGCACCACCACTGCCGGCTGGTCTAAACTTTTTTAGCTACTGAATGAGACAAGGTGGAACTCACACTTCCCCATCTGTGCATTTCTGGACACTGATGTTAGGATAAATTAAAACAACTGCCAGTCACATCAGCCTGCTAGTGATGGCTTTGTGCCTGTTTTACCCTCCCTGTGTTTATCCACTCATGTTTAAACTGAGTTAGCAGCCTACAGAAGCCCAAAATTCACAAAATCCCACAAGTCTAATCCTCTTCCTGGTGAATATGAACATCAGAAAGCCACCGCTTGAGTTTCCAATTTCCAAACAAGAAAATAGAAGGCATAGCACAACCTGCAATACAAACTACTCTCTCGATCTGTTGGTACATTACCTACCATGGTCAAACCAGTATGGAGGTAACAGGAAATGAACTCAGGAAAACACACACGCTTTCCTTATCTTGTGAGGAAAATAATAGAAAGGTTTCATCACTTTTTCTATAAAGTCTGGCTTGCAAGGCAAAGTAAGCTTTTTTTTTCCACTTGCCTATTCTCAAGTATGAAGAATAAAGAAAATTATTTTCGCTCTTCTCTTAGCCTCCATTCATTAGCCAAATACTTCCTCCAGAGGCAGTGAGCAGGGCATTATGCCACCCTCCACAGAAAACTAAGGTTCTTTCTTAACCTTAATTTATATCTTCTTAATCCAGTAATGCTTCTAAATCATTTCTTAAAGCATGACCTGGATATATTTCACCCGGGGGGGGGGGAAATACTTTCAAATTACTCAGAGTAATTATTCTTTTGTTTTTGGTTTGGTTTTTCAGAGACAGGAATTCCCAGTGTAGCCACGGTTGTCCTGGAACTCGCTCTGTCCTCCAGGCTGGCCTTGAACTCACAGAGATCCACCTGCCTCAGCCTCCCTAGTGCTGGGATCAAAGGCCTGTGCCACCACTGCCCGGCAAAAGTATTTATTCGTAACAAGCACGGAATGCAGACTCATTTTCCTAAACATACTCATAAACTCAATTACCAGAAAAATTAAATAAAGTCGTGTGAACGTCATGTTCCCGGTGCTGGGAAGGCAAAAGCCAGAATCGTTACCCATGTACCACTACCCCAAACCAAAACACACCTTTTAACCGGCTGAGTCCAACTGAAAATAGTTAACTCTGCCTCTTAAGCGACTAAAAATGGAAACACCCTAACTCTTTCAGCTTCCCTGGCTGTCCCCAAACTGACACTGTGAGGCTCCTTCTCTCTCTCTCTTTTTTTTTCATTTAAACGGGTTTACGAAGTATGACCAAAACACATCTCATCAGACTATCATCAGGCACCACCGGGTCTAACCTGCACCCCAACGGCAGCGGCCAGCAGCCTTTTAACCAGCAGGCCGGGGAACCACAACTACCTCTCCCCTGCCGACTTGGAGCGGCCAATTCCCACCAAAGCTCAGCAGTCTGAAACTTTGCACGGACGCTGAGCAAGACCTGAAAGCAGCCGCCTCTCACCCCCTAGGCAAGCATGGAAAATGGGGAGATGGGGGACTAGTCCGAGCCTTCGGCGTGGCTCTCGCCAGGCCGCCCGAGGCCTCGGCTCCCAGCGCGGCCACCGCGCCGTCTCGCGCCGGCCTGGCCGAGCCTTGGGCGGGCGGACCCGAACTCGGGGCGCCCGCCATCGACCACCCGGCCCCTCCTGACGGAGCCGGGCCCTCCTGGAGCACACAGCTGAGTACCACGGCCCGGGGAACCCCGGTGTCGCGAGTTTTCCCCCACCCCCACCCTCCCCTGAGTTCGCCGACCGCGAACGCACCTTCCAGAAAAGCAGCCTGCCCAGCGCCGCCGCCGCTCTTGCCCGCCGCCATCTTCCTCTTCCCACGCCGCCTCCTCCTTACTCCATGGCCGGCACCGCGGCCGTGCTCGCGGGGAACAGGGGCCGCGCGGCGGGAGGGTAGCAGCCGCAGGGTGGCGGGCCTCGGGCTCGGCCGTCCGCGAGCGACGCTGTCCTCGCCGGGCCGGGTCCCCACACAAAAGCTGGCCGACGCGGCCCGGCCTGTCTCGGGCGGACGGGAGGCGCTGAGGCCCGCGGCCTGGGCTGCTTCTCCTCAGGCTCCTACCGGGGTCCGTGAGCGGCGGCGACGACGGCGGCGGCGCTTCCCGGGTCCGGCTTCCCTCGGCACACGACTCCCCATCCACCGGCCGCGCCGATCTCCGTGAAGCTGCTCTCCGCCGCTGGCGCCGGGGACGGAGAGCGAGGCGAACGCGCACACGCCGCCTGCGTCCCGGGCCGTAAAATGGCCGCAGCGGCGCGCCGAGCGAGGGCTCCGCGACCGTCAGGCGCCCGCGACCCCTCGCTGCTCCCGCAGTGGCCGCCGCCGCCGCCGCCTGCCCGCCCACCCCGCCCAGGCGTCAGAGCATCAGCCCAGGCCTCGGCGACTGTCCATGTGGACGGGGGTGGGTCTCCGCCACGGCCGAGCGTCGGTCGCCACAGCAGCCCCGCCGCCGCTCCTCCCCCACGGGCCTCCGGGCCCGCCCCGCCGCCGCCCCAGCGCCTCTCCCTTGGGGCCCCGGCTCCCCCCACGGCACCGGCCGAACCCACCCCGGAGGGTGGCGGGAGATTTCAGCCCGCGGGCCCTGCGTGGCGTCCCACCGGCCTAGGCAGGGCACGAACAAAACCCCTTCCTCAGAAGGCCCCATGGCAGACCCGGCCTGCGAACGCTTCCCAGCCTGCTGGTGAGGGATTCTGTTTGATCCCCGTGGCACCACACAAGTTAAAGAAACGCTCCGAGTTCTGGTCTTTTTTGAGGAGACCTTCGAATTTAAAACATGTGCCATGTGAAGGGGGAAAAAAAGTAGCGAGATAATGCAATCGCTGTGGGAAATAATCTGTCTTCACATCCATCTTCAAAACAATGGATAAGATTGAGCCAGTACACTTGGGTGGGTGAAAAAGAGAAGACCTTTGTCATTTATGTGTCCGGTGCCGAAAACACCAGACTCCTTACCAGGCTGTGGCTCAGACAATGATAGAATTTGGAATTGCATTTTCTTTTCTTGCAAGCTGGGTGTGGTGGTTTTTAATCCCAGCACCTGGTGAGAGGCTGGTGGATCTCAATGGATCCTTTCTCAAAAGAGACAGAAAGAGATACATGTTACCCTGTTGTATCACAACTGAAACACAAGTCACAAGTCCCTTAGGTGTGTGGTCTGCTAATAAGCAATTTTTCTTTAAAAAAAAAAAAAAAGATATTGGTGTGTGGGTGTTTGTCTGTGTTTAGTTTCTGTACTCTGCTGTCTGCAGTTTTTTCAGAGACCAGAAGAGGGGACCTTAGATCTTCTGGAACTGCAAGTGTAGGCAGTTGTGACTGTCATGTGGGCCCTAGGAACCAAACTGCTGGGCCCCTTTTCTCCAGCACTCTACACCCTAATTTAGAGGTAGGGTCTCACTGTATAGCCCTGGCTGGCAAGGAACTCGCTGTGTAGACCGGGCTGGCTTCCAACTCACAGAGATCTGCCACCCCTGCCTCTGCCTCCCAAAGTAATGAGGCAGCATATCCAGCTCCTTTGGGCTTCTGAGACGAGGTCTGGAGTATCCCAGGCTGGCCCTGAATTTGAGTTGGAGCTAAAAAGGGTCATGAACACCTGATCCTCCCAGACTCAACATACCAAGTGCCAGGGTTACAGGCATGCGCCATCACACCCCACGTTCCTTAACTCTTTCAGTAGCCATCTTCAAAACACAAAAATCTATGCTGTATATCAGTGAAAGCTCAACAGCAGTTGAAATGATTCAAAGACATTTGTTAAAGAAATCTTTGAGCACTTACCTTCTACCTGGGTTGTTTATTAACCAAGGCTCACAGAGGAGACTTTTTTTTTTGATAACTTTTTATCTTATCCCTACAGGGTAGTTCATACCTGTAATCCTAGTACTAGGAAGGCAGATCTCTTGTGAATTCAAGGCCAACCTGGTAAGTGTAGGGGGTTCCAGGCCAGTCAGGGGTATACAGTGAAACTTTGCCCCAAAACAAAAACAAAACACAATAACTTAGCATCTTTTATTATAGTGACACCAGTAATCCATGCTGATTTATAAAAGTACCATAAGGAACGTACTGTGGTATAATTTGCATTTTCATTGTCTGAGGAAATACATGATGCTATTGGAATCTTTGAAAGAGATAGTCTGTGCTATTGCTTCAGTGTAATACTGAGACGTGTAGATGAACAGGAAGATAAGGGTGACTAGTCTTACCTAAAAATAGGAAGAAAGTAAGCCTCTCATTTAAAAAATACAAGCGTACTGTATTCTGTAGAGGAAGGTACCAGGAATCAAGGGATATGGGTAGTCCCTCAGGGATGGCAAAGGTGGAGAAATTGATTCTCCCCTGAAGCCCAGACGGAGAGGAACTTAGAGCCTTGATTTTTGCCCGGTGAGAGGGATTGTTCACTTCTGACCTACAGAACTGTGCTCTGATAGATTTGTGGCAAGTTGCCAACTTAGTGGTAGAGTAATTTATTCCACTGTGGTAGCTCATACCTCTAATCCTAGTACGCGCAAGGCAGATCCCTGTGACTTCAAGTCCAGCCTCATCATATACATCGGGAGTTCCAGGCTAACCAGGACTACACAGTAAACAACAACAACAACAAAAAACAAAAGAAATAAAGAAAGAAAGAAAGAAAGAAAGAAAGAAAGAAAGAAAGAAAGAAAATTAATACACAGAGTGGAAAACTAGGAAGCATTGTCATTTTAAGAAAATTTAAGTAAATTAGGTGTGGTAGTGTATGCCTTTAGTCCTACCTAGCACTTGGGAGGATCTGCCTACAGGCACGTCTCTGAATTCAAGGCTAGCCTCGCCTACGTTGTGAGCTGCTATCTATAGATAGATGACTGAATTGGGCTTTTTCAGACAAAGGCTACTGTTTTTTTTTTTTTTTCATTTCTTTATTTTGATCTTTTGAGATATAGTTTCTCTATGTAGCTCTGTGTATTCTAGAACTCCCTAATGTAGACCAGACTGGCCTCAAATAGACAGAGATCCACTTGCCTCTACCTCCCAAATCCTAGGATTAAAGGCGTGCGCCACCACACCCTGCTTTACTTTCAGGTGATAGCAATTTTAGCTAGTGTTTGTGGAGCCCTATCCTTCCAGTCATAAAGCAGAAGTTTGGGTTAAGCCAGCTACCTGAAGGCTTGTTACGACACGTTTTACCCAAACCCCAGAGTTTATGCCATCTAGAGTGAGACTAGAGAAACTGCATTCCTAACAGGTTCCCAAGACACAGTTACAGCTCACTGGGGGCTATACTTTTAGAATGAGATTTCAACCGTTTTTTAAATTCCTTTCTAGTTCAGGCATTCTCATACTGAACCTACAACTAGAAAGTTTTTCCATACTGTAAGGAGGCATATTGTAAGGAGATTCCTTAAAATCACCATGACTCCTAGTGAGTATGATCACCTGTCTCGCGTTTATGCCACCTGTAGGGCCGAGAAAAGTTTGTATTTAGAAGATGCTCTGTAACTATATATTCAGTATATTCTCAAAAACACTGAGTTAGTAGACCTTCTTCCCCTCCCCTTCTGTCTCCTGTCGCTTCTCCCACTTTTTCTGAAGAAGGGTTTCCCTAGATAGCCCAAGCCCCTACTGTCTCAGCCTCCTCAGTGGTGGATGGCATATGGGTCTGTACCACTCTGCCTACATTAGCCCTTCTTGTTGCATACATTTTTTGAAGCTCATGGACATTGCCACAATCAATTACTGATGACTTATTCAAAAGCAGTTATTGTAGTTATTCAGTTTTGATTAAAAGTCAGCCATGGGCTAGCAAGTTGGCTCAACAGGAAAAGGTACTTGCTCAGCAAGCATTCAGCCCCTGAAGATCTCATTAAAAAAAAAAAAAAAAAAAAAAGCCAGTGCAGGGTTGTTGATATGACTCAAAGGTAGAATATGTTTAGACACTTGCTGTGCAAGCCTGATGACCTGAGTTTGAACCTAGGAACCCACGTGGAAGGAAAGACTGACTCTACAAGTTTGTTCACTGACCTCCACATGTACACTTATATACACATACACAGAGAGAAAATAATAGCAAATAAAATATTTTAAAAGCCAAAAATGGTAGTATACATCTGCAATCCCATCACTCCTGCTACAAGATGAGATACAGTGAGACAAGAATTGTCCCCAGGTAAGGGGGAAGGAGGGGACCATCCCCACTGGCCCCTACATACTCACATACACACACAATAATAATAAAGTTTAGAATAAAAATAAATTTATTTTAACCCTTTTATAACTATGTCTTTATCACTTAAATTTAGCAAATGCCATTGAACTATCAGCCTACTTTAGGAAATTTTAATTTGGGCATAAAATATACAGGAGAAAAGTTAGGTTACTTTAGGTGTATAGGAGTGGGCAATTGACATATATAATATAATTGACATATATTATAAGCAATATAATGTCTTATTCTAATTATTCCACTGAAGAAATTTGGGGGTCAAGGCTGGAGCCCAGGTGGCATGTGTTTGTGTAGTACATGTAAGGCCCTGCCTGGCCGTAGTCCTACCACAGGGAACGTCCATGCTCTCCTTGAGCCTTTCCCACCATTCCCGCCTGAGGTCCTTACTGCTCATTGCTCAAGCTGAGAATTCCTTTAGTTTACCAGACTTGTTTGCCTGTATACACATATCTGTTCTAGTTTTAATATTCTGATTTATAGCAGAGACTACTCCCTGTTCACAGTCCATTATTAGGTTTTATCTTCTGTGTATCAGAAAGCCTTGGCCCCACTGTTTGTAACCCTAGGATGCTTTGTCACCACACGTACTTCAGAGCTTGGCAGACAATTGGCCAGCAGGGCTGGAGCCTACTTAAGTTGTTTAAGCACACAGATAAAAGTTGGGTTTGGTGTTGCATTCCTATAGTGCCAGCACTTAGGAGATAGAGGCAGGAGAACCACCCAGGAGCTCCAGGCCAACCTAGTCTCCTCGGTGA